TGGTAAAGGATTAAATGTCCAATTATTAGAGATAAGCAGACCAGTACCTCCACCTCTTTCAGTCAGACGGGGGGAGTGGGAAAAAGAGAAATTATTGGAGAGTGCTGCAGGAGTAGCATTGTCCTCTGGTTTGATCCACATCTCTGCCAGGGCCATGAGGTTTAGTCTTGAATGACTTGTAATAGAAGTAATCAAATCTGCTTTGTTTACAGCAGACTGGCAATTCCAGAGACCAATAGAAAAAGAAAGTAGTGTATTAGTAAACATAGGCAAAGTGCGCAGGTTGTTAGGATTGCACTGCTTACAGTGTGTGATGCATGGTTTGCGAGTGGTAGTGATAGTAGGGATCTGGAAACACATAGTAAGAACTGGTTATAAAAACTGAAAACAGAAGGGAAACAAGTAGTAGTAAAGAGAATGATTCTTATGTCCCTTGCCGGTGTCCCTGCTCAGTGGAGGTCTTCACACGGTCTTCTTCGGTCTTCATATGAGGGCTGGCGCGACCGCTGCCGCGGTATAGTAAGCTTTTTACATTCGTCTAACAAAACTCAAATTGAATTCAGCTGAACACACTTTCTTGTTTATCACAACAAATGGTCAAGCAAAGTGCACGACACTGACAAGGTGCGTACCTTGTACAGTACGAGACCAAAAGCGATAAGCAAGATGCAAGAATATTTCTCCGCAGAGTTATCTCCTTCCACCCTTAATGTATACATGGCAGCTATATCTGCTTACCACACCCTTTTGGATGGTCAGTCATTGGGAAGGAACCCGTTGGTGTCATGTTTCCTTTGTAGTGCCTTGAGGCTGAAGCCTGCACTATGCACTAGGGCTAACTAAGGCCGCTTTTGAACCTCTAGAGGAGGTTTTGTAAAAGTTTTTGACACGTCTCTCAAGAGAGTTGGTGACCTTCAGGCCTTTACGTGGGTTCATTCCCAAAGTGTTTCCGACACAGCTCGAGTTCCTGAAGATGAACGTCCCTAGGTTACGACTGTAACCATGGTTCACAAAAGGGAACCAGACACTGCGTCACCCTGTCATATCTCCTGCATCCCTGTGAGTGCTTGCTTCATCCTATCAGAAGCTGGCATTGTTTTCACCCTTTTTGATTTGAGCATCTTGTTCCCTTCGGGGAACCATGGTTACAGTCGTAACCTAGGGATTTTATGGAAGCCCATTTCCACCACAGTCAAGTAAAAAATTATTTAAGACTCACAGAATCATATAAGTAACTTTCTCATAATAGTGACTTATATCAAAATAATGAGAAACTTTCTTGTAATAATGACTTAGTTTCTCATAATAATGACTTAGTGCAGGGATCCACAAATCTAGCCCACGAGATCCACTTTCTTGCAGAGTTTAGCTCCAACCCTAATCAAACACAACTGAGCAAACTAATCAGTGTCTTCAGGATCATTAGAAAATCACAGGTAGGTGACTTTGATCAGGGTTGGAGCTAAACTCTGCAGCACATTGGCCCTCCAGGGCAAGATTTGAGGAATCCTGACAGTGTCTTGTAATAATAAGACATTTTCTCGTAATAATAAGAAACTTTATTGTAATAATGACTTAGTTTCTCATAGTAATGAGTAGGTTTGGGTATGGTTTTTGTAGCATTTGGACCAATCAGACACACAACTTTTTGTTATATTTAACAGAGTATATTTTTGTCATTGTGTATTTTTTCTTTGATATTCTTAGACTATTTTAGTATGCTTGTGAGGGGACCCATTCCTGATCCTCCCTTTTCACTATATGTAATCTTACCTTGTTTAGTATCTATGAATTTGCCTTCGTATGATCGAAACAAGCGTGTATATTATATGGTGGTACATAGGCAATATATATTAGGGCCCTGAGAATCGTTAATAATTTCGATTTAAGTCCATTTGCAAATTACCATGCTTCGAGAACAAAGGGTCGTAAACCCTCCAGCAATTGCCACTTCCCGCTCGGAAATTCCATTTTGCTCATTGGACAAGCCCATCTTGAAAGGCGGAGATCTTCTCCGACCTTAAAGGCCCGGCTCCAGGGACCCGCTCTGTTCGGTGGTTCAGTGAGATGCTAAGATGAAGATGTGAGAAACGCTCCAGGATACCAAAGCTCGTGCCAGGCTCCGGCCTAGTCCTTTTCATTCATCAAGTGATTCTGACTCAAACTAGCTCTTTTTCATCAACCAACTTCAGCAAGATCTTGGGGCCTTAAGATTGCATCAGGAATCTTTTTCAGACATACGCAAGTATCAAACTTAGTCGATTTAATTGATGCATTAAGTATCAGTTACACCTTTTTACAAGGTTTGTTTGATCTAAGAATCTGACGTTTTCCCTCAGGTTTTAGATCTGCTGAATATGCAAAATGGTTCCATAAATGTCAGTCCTTATGTCTCTTTCTTTAGTGCTAAACTTTAACCCTTTCCTATACCAACTGTATGTGTGTGTGTGTGTATGTGTATGTTAGACCGGCTTAATGTGTTTATGTAGTATGTTAGACTAGTTTAAGTGTTTATGTAGTTAATAAAACCTTACTTGTATCACACTTGACGTGTTCATTGTTTACTCATAACCGGAGTCAATAATCATGCAGATTTACGTTACAAACTTATAGAATTGTACAGTAAGAAAGTTATTTCCTTTAACCAGGAAATTAACGTTCTTAGAATTGACAAGACGGTTGACCCTGAGTGGTCAGCTAAATATCTACAGTGGATCTAAAATATTAATAATTAATCATAATTAGTTATGGTTAATTATTCATATTTCCCCATGAGCTGATTCGCTACATTTTTTTCCCGATACTGGTGCCAAATCGATACTTTTAAAATGGTTCCCGTGCCTAAACGGTGCCTGAACCCATATTTATTAAAAAAATAAAAAATAAAAATTCCCCAAAATATGATGGATTGGCCATTAGCACTATAAACACATGATGTCTGTTTAATTCATACTGGACGCCAGAGAGCACCTTCGTACAGAAAATCCACATATCCAGTCACAGAAATAGCGGAACGCATGACCCTCCAGGAAGTCCCTTATATAGACAACGGCATCGCTATTAAAGCTGTAACTGAGTAAACAGAACATATAAATGTTTTGAATGATAAAACAAAGACAATAAACACTCGACTGCGACAATATAGTTTATCTGTGTTATTCAAGCCATCTCTGGTATTTTCATAATAATTAAGTATGTTTATAATCCATTGCTAATCGATGTATTTTTAAAGTAACCTATGGGACATATTTTCTGCCTCATTCTGTGATAAGAAGCCACATCAGATCACAAAAGGAAGCATTTGACTGGTGTTGTGGAGTAAAAAGGTTATAATGTTCTCTTTTGTTGGACAACAGGTTTAGAAATGTGAATACAATGGAAGTTTAGCTTTAGGCATTTTAATTTAAGTGGATGCCCCTTGGGAGACGTTTAAGGTCAATTAGATTTTTCACAAATTGGTACAAATTTACTTTTGTGCCTGAAGCAATACATTTATGTAATAAATTTAGTTTATTTATTATTTTATTATAATGTTTTTTTCTCTTATGTATTTGGTGTATTTTGAGTATTTGTTTGTGTGTTAAGTGTTGTATATGTGAAGCACTACGAAAGTCTGAATTAATTGCCCCAAGGGGATTGATAAAGCTCTAAACTGAAACTAAACTGAATAAAAGTTTCATTGCGCAGTGGGAGCAGGAAGTTTGCACTTTTTGTAATAATTTCCATATTGTTTGTATTTCATTTTTTTTATATTGGTACCTATTGGTAAATATGATTTTAACTGTTGCTTTTCTGTTAATTTAGTAAAAAGGTGGTGTAGTGGTCACTAGATTATTATTATTATTATTATTATTATCAACTAGTTTTGATTAATGTCTTTTTCATGTCTTTTTTTCATGTCTTTTTTCATGTCTTTTGGAGGCAAAAAATAGCTTTTTAATTTTCTTCAATAGTAAATATATATATATATATATATTTATTTATTTATTTATTTATACAACAGTTCTTTCTGGTCCTCGAATCTGATTGTCTGAGAGGTCTTTCCAGCTATGTGTTATTCTATCAGTATCTCCATGGAAACGGTTTAACCGTTTGTATCACCCTGCTTGCAGCATTTCTCACAGTGTCATGTGGATGCCCATACTACTGTTGTAGTATTTGTAAAGTTTTTAAGAGTTTTTTTTTGTTTTTTCTTAATTTTTTTAGGCGATAGGTAATAATTTAGGCTTCTGGGGCCTCGTTTATAAAACGTGCATACGCAAAAATCCACGGCAACATTCATATTTATAAAAACGTTCTTTGACGTGGAAAAGAGCTTAGCACCACGTCAGGGTCTGAGCAGATGTACGCACTTTTGTTTGCCCGAGTTTTGAAAATATAAGTAATTCTTGCCACTTGTAAAAGATTTGAACATTGTCAGGTGTTCTTTTATAAGTCAATGACATTAAATAGACATCGTTTACAAGGCGGAGATCTGAAACTTTCAAGATCATTGCAATTTATAGATTTCACATCTAAAAGGGAGGCCTACGCACATTTTCTGTGCATACGTTCGTTCTATGAATCACACGTAGGCACTTTGAGAAATTATCATAAAATCTAATTTAGGATGCTTTCTACGCAGTATTTTATAAATGAGGACCCAAATATGCAGTTTGTTAATAAAGATGGCGCCAATTTGAAAATTTGCTTCAACATTTTCGGAGATGTGAGGTTCAGGGGGTCAGCGGCTGTTCGGTGCTCACAAACATGCCAAGAAATTTTTTATATAACTTTAATGCTTTATCAGAGTACTGCCTTTGAACTCTTGACTGAATTTCTTAGTAACATTTTAATGGCTGTTGTTGTTTATTAAATATTATTGTTCAATATATAATATTTTATTATAAATAATGTTAGTATTTAATAGTCTTTGGTAATGAGAAACAGTGTGTTAGTGATGGTGATTTTGGTTAGATGGTTACTCACGTTATCAAAAGTTACAACATGTTGTTGCATACCTAGAATACTTGAAGGTCCTGGCTTCCTCCCTTCCATGTCCTTCATTCCCTCCACATATCGGAAAGCAACCTCATGCAGTAGCTCCTCACCTGCTTTTCCTGCAAGGTAATGGCATCTCAAAATATTTGTTGCATTTCAGAAAAATCAGTATCATAATTCTGTTAACTGAAATTCAGTGTTGCCCAATCCAAACCCACCGACTGGATGGACCAACCTGTTGCTAGAGCCTCAGCGGTTGCCAAGTGAAGCACTGTGTCATCACTAACTGGCCAATCAGGAAGCTCCACAGAGATGTTTTTCAGCCCCCCTAGCTCTTGCAGTTCCTAGTATACAGTATTATAATAGATCAGGGTGATTTCTCACTTAAAAATGTGGTCTACAGTTTCCTACTGACTTAATTGGATAGTTCGCCCAAAAATGATAATTCTGTAATTAATTACTCACCCTCATGTCATTCCAAACCCGTAAGACCTCCGTTCATCTTCGGAACACAAACTAAGATATTTTTGATGCATTCTGACAGCTCTCTGACCCTCCCATAGACGGTAAGGGTCCTTACACAATCAAGGTCCAGAAACGTAGCAAGGAGATCGGTAAAATAATCCATGTGACATCAGGGGTTCAACCATAATTTTACATTTTGTGCGCAAAAGAAAAAAAACATTATTCAACAATTCGTCTCCTCCATGTCACCGTAGCGCCATTTTTGAGAATATGCATTGAACGCAAACAGTGTATGTTGTTCAGTGTCAGCCGCACCACACGGATACGTTGTTTTACGTTCAAATCAAAGCACAAACAACGTAGAAAATGTATCCGCGTGGCATCTTACGGGTTTGGAATGACATGAGGGTGAGTAATTAATGACAGAATTTTCATTTTTGGGTGAACTAACCCTTTTACCACATTAATAAATAACTGTAATGAACCACTATTGATGACATTTTAAGACTGTACTACTGCAGTCCGGTTTGGACCAATCAGACAAAACCCCTAACCAAAAGAAGCAAACTATGTGTTAGAGTTTTGTTGACAACCCCCAAAGAGCAACTAACACCTCAAAAAGGCAGAACAGGCCTCTGGTTATCATGGCAAGCAATGACAAATCATCTGATAACACTGGTTTTATTGCTCAAAGGAATGTTGGCAGAGCAACTCTCACTTCATGTTGCCATAGGAAAGAGACACACACTGCCCATAAAAAATTGACTCTTCTCTAATTAATTCATAGCCAAACCTTTCTATGAATGACTCCGCCTATCCACAGATCATTGTGTATATTATTACTGTTCCTGTATATTGTCTTTTGTATTGTATACCGTTTTATGCATGCGTTATGATAAAATAACTAATTAATATAACCTCACCTATATCATGTTTGGTCAATTCAAGTCACCTTTATTTATATAATGCTTTATACAATACTGGTTGTGTCAAAGCAGCTTTACAGTGTCAAACAGAAAAATTTTGTCAATAATGCAAGAACACAGTGACAGAGTCATTTTTCCAGCTAAAGTCAGTTAATTGATGATTCAGTGTTGTCATCGTCCAGTTCAGCTCTCTTCCAATAGTGTCTGTGCAATCAGTCAAGCGTCCCCAACTAAGCAAGCCAAAGGCAACAGTGGCAAGGAACCAAAACTCCATCTGTGACAGAAATGGAGAAAAAACCTTGTGAGAAACCAGGCTCAGTTCTTCTCTGGCCAGATGAAACCAGCATGGCGTGGTTTAATTCCAGGCTGCAACACAGGTGCAGAGGACTCGTTTGGTTCCCATGGTCTTGTGCCGATGGTGGTCGAGGTGATGAGGTCTTTGCAGGGGATCTGTCTCTGGGGCACATCTAGTTGACATGGTCTCTGCTGACATTCAGGGCTGTAGAGATTGTCTCTAGGTGCTGATCCACCATCTGATCTGGATACAGACTGGATCAATGCGGAGGCGTGGATCCGGAAGGCCGCAGTGGAGCTGGAGCGACAGAGGACCGAGGAGGAGCCGAAGGGAAGGAGGAGCCCACGGAGTTCCAAGGCAACGGATGGTTGACGACAGACCAAGGCAGAGCCAGAGGGACGAGGGAGCCCGGCAGAGCTGGTGGACAGCAGAGAGGAGGGAGCTAGGAGGGAGCCACGATGACGATGGAGACTGGCTGATGGTGCATCGCACAGATGGTGGGCTGAGGGCAAGCAGAGGGGCTACCAGACGACAGCGGTGGAGGAGGCAGGAGCGGGAGGGTGGGGCAGGGATTTCTGAGCCTCCGGACTGTCAGGGCTGCCCTTTGGAACAGAAGCCCTCTCCAGGCTGGATTCGGGAAAAGAAGCCCTCCCTGGGCTGGACAGGGAAACAGGAGCCCTCTCTGGGCTGGACGTGGGGACAGGAGCCCTCTCTAGGCTGGACGTGGGAATAGGAGCCCTCTCTGGGCTATACTCGGGATCTGAGGCCCTCTCTGGGCTTGACGTGGGAACAGGAGCCCACTCTAGGCTTGACGTGGGATCAGGAGCCCACTCTAGGCTTGACGTGGGATCAGGAGCCCTCTCTGGGCTTGATGTGGGAACAGGAACAGAAGTGATAGAGGGCTCCGATGAAGGAGGGAGGAGAATGGGCATGTCAGCATACATATCTGCCTCCCAGTCTATTAGGTCCCTTTCAAAGTCCAGCAGTCCCAGGTACACAATTAGCTCACCCTCAGCCATGTTGCAGTGGGCGGAGCTCCTCTCCGCGATCTCACTGTCCTTGGCTCTTTCCCTCGCGGTGGGCATTGTAGCCAGCACTCGCACCTGGTCTGACATCATTTGCAGCATCGGCTCCGCAGCGATCCTCAGCTCTGTCGCTCCGTGCGGCGATGGCTCGTCGGTCACGGCGGGGCTCGGGCTTGGGATCCGCACAGCGGGGAGATAGTGGGCTGGGCTCTCGGTCTGGCTGTGCTCTGGATTGGGGATAGACACCGGATTATAGCTTCTCTCCACCTCAGTCTGGTGGTGTCAGGGAGGTCGACAGGGCGGTGGTAATTTGCCCGATCCAGAAGAGTGAGTTCAGCGCAGCTTCGTCGAACGCGTTAAAACGGCGAGCTGACTGAACTCAACCGCATACTCCAAGAGGGGAAGGTCCTTGTCGGCTAGGGAGGTAAACATTGAGGCGAGGGGATCCATGGGGAAAACAGAAAACTGAACAAAACGTGGAAAACAAACGGAGGGGTAAACGCAAATGAAGTTTTTGCAGGTCGGGTCTTCTGTCACGAATGCCTTACTTTTATTCGCACTCACCTTCTAGCTTCTGATCATGTGCGTGGGTTTTCCTCTTACTGGAAACTTAACTCAGTTCTCTTTTATAATGAGGTAAAAGATGAAATTAAGATCATAAAAACAACTGGAATAAAGTTATAGACGACAACAGCTACAGTAGCTACTGGGAGTTTACTAAGTGTGGAATTGGCAAATATATTAGAACATTTTGTAGTGATTTAGCAATAAAGAAAAGAATAGATGAAAAAATTATTAAATGTAAACTCAAGAATCTCATCTAAAAATGTAGATGATTTACTGGATTATAAACAAGCAGAATTGGCTGATTTACGACTCAAATTAGACAACATATATAAACAAAGCTGAAGGGGCATTTATTAGATTGCGTATGAAATGGTTTGAGGAGAATGTATAAACTTATCTTTTTTTTCAGACTGGAAAGAGAAACTAAAAATTCTAAAAAAAATTAGAAAGAAAATTAGAAAGAAACTAAAAAAAAAAAAACTCATGGTTGATGTCAATATTACTGATGACCCAAAAAGTATTGCAGCGTTCTGTGTTTACAGCAAGTTAGATGCTGCCAAATTATCCCAACAACATTTTTTTTCCAGTCATTACCAAACATAAAACAGTTGAATGTTTCAGATCAGCATTTTTGTGATGCATCTAATCACATTAAAAGAGATTGAGGAAGCTATTAATTCTAAGTGTGTGGTTTCATGCACAACATCTGGCATATTTTGATGACCCGAATAGTTTAGCCCCTCAGTACTTGAGCGAGCTCTTATTGCATTATAGTCCTTCACATCTACTGTGATCTCAAAACTCTGGCCATTTGATAATACCCAGAATATCAAAATCATCGGTGCATTGTTCGGGAGGCAGACACACTCTGTCAGTTTAAATCTAGATTAAAAACCCATCTCTTTAACCTGGCATGCACATAACACTATCATATTTCTATAATTCCAATAGGAATTCTAAGCTAGAGAAGACCACAACATACAGCCCTAAATGTCAGCCCTAGAGACAGCAATAGAATCAAGATAATAAGTAGTATCACTGTACCACTAATATTGCTGGGAAGTGTCAATGCAGGCACCCTCCGAGTTACTGAAGTGAAAAAAAAAATCAGGTTTAAAGTTATTCAAAATCCACATTGTGCAGCTCAAAACTGAGTTTTATTCAAGCATGAGAACAATGATTGAGCAGAGCTATACATTCACAAGTTTTCTCATTATAAATAAACAAAGTGCAGTGTGGTCAGCTTCACTGATTATAATGGGAGATTTCAGAAGAGAGAAGATTATCAGAAGAGAGGAGTTCCCTTTCAAACGGTCTCTCAGAGCACAAATCATCAGCCTTCTGGCTGTTACTGTCACAAACTGGAGCAAGAAAAACAAGGTAGGTAAGTGAACGTACTCATTTACAAACCCATAAATCATCCAATGAGGAGTGCAAGCACAAACAGTTTTAAAAAATTGCAGAACTAGAGTAATAGTCAATTACTTTCCTAAGAATAGCTGAATGGATGAGCACAACAGTCCAGATTCAAGAGCATCCCAGAGAAAGAAGGTAATCTAGAAAGGGGAGTCCTAGGAGCAACAGGCAGGTGAGCAAGTTTGAGACTTGTCCACAAGTGAATGAAATTAACTGTCTTTTATGTGTTGAAGGAAAGTGGCTGCAGGTGGTAGTAATTAATGACAAGGGACAGGTGAGGGAGTGTGAAGGATTATGAGTAATGTATGTAGAGCGCTCTAGCCACCTCCAGCATTCAGAGCAGTTTATTGTTTGCTTCAAAGGCCACACTAAAGGGCTGCCAATCACGAAGCAGAGACTTACTGGATAGTTGATGCTATAGCCCTGGCTTATGCCTCAATGGGCTTACAGTGTCCTATTGGAGTAAGGGCCCATTCCACTAGAGAAATGGCCTCCTCCTGGGCTTGGTCCAGTGGAGTTTCTATTGGTGATATCTGTGCTGCTGCAGGCTGATCTTCGCCATCTACCTTCACCAGGTTTTATAACTTGGACGTCCCTGCCCTTCAGGCATGGATTTTGTCTGTCTATTTTACCCCTCTGTAAATGGAGAA